CCCCCCCCCCCCCCCCCCCCCCCCCCTCAGCCCCTCCCACCCCCCGATCCGGCTCGATAAGGTTAATCTTGATTTATGCGCTTCTCTTGCGCGTGGCATATTCCAGAAGTTCGCTGCAGGCTGTTTTTTGCGTTTCGCAAGGGTCGTGCGGCCTTCTTGTTTTAAGATCATGTCTGTCTGGTCGCAAGCAGTCGTCCTTGCTGTGGCCTTCATGGTTCAAGGTTCGACGCTCGGACGGGGGCGTCGAGAGGCGCTTCTGTCCATCATGATAACATTTTATTTTAAATACCAACCTATTGCCCAATCCCCTTGAAAAACGCTCACCTGCATCCACCTGGATGTACGACCAGGTTAGGTTAAGAGGTGGACCATGTGGATGTTCCTCTCCAGGTGGATTTCTAACCAGGTGGACTTCTCTCCAAAAGGTGAAACGCGCCTACGTCCACTTGTTCCAAATTCCCCGAAGTTTAGGAAATGTTGCTTGCAATTACATTTCTCCCACTTGCTCTGTCCACATCAAGCCTCTCCTTAAAGCTAGTTATGGTAAGAGCAGCCACCGCCTCGCCCCTCGGCGCTTTCGATTCCATGAGGATTTTGACTGCTCGTTGAATCAAGTAATATCCGCAAAAGCGCCAGTGACTTATTTCACTTGGATCTCGACTGGCCCTTAAAAATAGGCAAAGCAACTGCGGGTATTCAAGCGCGGTGCGATTAGATGAACGTGACGTGGTGACGAAAGAGAAAGGTGACGCTTGGTGAATCCAGAAAACGGTGACAAGAGAGAATCGATTCTCCTAGTGCCCTTTCAGCTTGGGTTTGCTTTTCAAAGCACGAGGGAAATCCTATTTTTCCCCCTTATCTCCGAATTATGGCCTAATAGGGACAACAGAACCGGATCGAAGTGATACGGATCCGGACTCTACCTTTTCTCCTGAACGGATGGAACTCACTTCAATTTCTTTTGCTTCAGTTCTCATAGCATCAATTGAATATGCGAGGTTTCATTTCAATTTCTGCTTGAAACGAACGCATCTAAGCACAGTGACATTTTTATTTGAAAAGGATATAGTTCCAGAGAAACTGGATATATCATGACTAAAAGTCGTTAGTCTTTTTTTTGTCCGGTTAACAGCTTTCCTTCCTGAACGATCCAGATCACCTATAATTATTCGAGGTATACTCGTATATCGTCCATGAGAACCACTTAGTATGATCACGAGGATGTCTTCCGTCCCTTACACCTCGCGGTTTAATGTACCACTTCCTTCCTGAATAAGGTTCAGCGAATGTAATAAATTTAAAGAATAATACGATCAGATTCAAGATTTCGTGCCGAAAGAGTAAGAGAGAGACGATATCATATTCAAGTCGATGGAACTCGCCTGTGAGCTGGAGAGGAAGAGGAGGAGCAGCCAGAGGAAGGAAGACATGATCGAAGAATGAAATAGGTTGCGCTGGGGATGTGGGAGGAGGACGGGGATGACCTTACCCCAGATTTCGCTTTGGGGGGGGGAACCAGTCGGAGGCATTGAAAGAAGCAGATAGCGACGGTTGCATCACCTCCTAATGAGTCGGAGCGGGTGACCGGGTGACCGTCGAATTTTTGAAGAAAGAAATTGTCAAGGGAACACTCGATTGCGACCTTGATGGCGTGAAGGTCGCGTGAGGCAAGTTTCCTCCATGAAACTTGATTCCCGAACGATTCTTAATGTCTTCGGAATCGACAGAATTTACACCTTCCCATCGATTGCAGAACAGAAATGGATCTTCAGCGTTTCTCCTCGATTCCTGGTCCAATTCCAAGACGCTCGTGGCCGAGATATGGAAATGGAAAATCTGCTGCGGCGATTCGTTCAAGCAGCCTTGGCGTGTCGGTACACCGACTTCGAAGCAACCTTGATTTCTTGGCAAACGAGTCTTCAAAGAACTGCCCGACTGAATGGCTTTTGTTCCCCTTAACCCTTTCTGTGACTGTTATCAGTACTGGCTAGACTAATTAGTCTTCGTTAGTAATGAGTCGTCGACAAACAATTTATTAGCGATTTTTGTGACTCGTGTATTCATGCGAACGACACGGCACACTCATAAATTGATATTAGTATAATTAATCAGCCAGCTGATTGGTGGGCCGACCCAATTACGGGATCGATTAACTCCCGACGATCAATCGAGATAATTCAATGAACTAATGCATTCATTTACATCATTTACATCTCTTCGTCCATCCCGAAATTCTGGAATCCTTCAATCCATCAACGAGCTTGGCTGAATTTTAAAATAATAATATTTCCGAAGCTCACACCAACCAATGGGATCAAACTGCTTTGGTCATCAATATTTTTAATCGGGGCTTTCCGTTACAACTGGTTGTGAGAAATAATTTTCAGTCGCTTCGCAACATTAAGCAAAATTCTCATCCCCCCCCCCAGCGAAATGTTCCATTTATATGTTTCCTTTTATTGCACAAGTGTGACAATCGTTTCCCTTGAGTGAATCCACAATGTATGAAGGAAACCCAATGCCCCCTCTCCATAAAAGGGTCTGGAAGGTGATAGTACTCCAATCTTGTTCTTCCCTGAAACGAATTTTCCTGAAAAAAAATATTTCGCATGTAAAACTGAAAAATTAGTACTTTTTCCAACTTTAATCCACTCATCAGACATTTGCATGTCAACATATGTTTCATTTTTCCACTTTGTCCTATTCGGTGCAGCTCTTAGGGAATGAATCTCACTTTTTCATAGTAGCCATAGTTGACCAAAAGTGACCCATGGTGACCCAAAGTGACCCAAACAGTTCGATCGACCCAACTGGGGCGTAATTTTCCTAGGTGATTAAAGTTCACCAAAATGCAAATGATGGTAAAATTGGAGCGAGGTCGGGTCACTTTGGATCTCTTTTGGTCAGTTGTGGCTACTTGGTAAACGCGAGATCTAGGGTAGGTCACCATGGGCCAAAATGGGTCACCATTGGTCGCAATGGGTTATCACGGGTCGCTATTTGTCACTCCAGGTCAAATTTGGTCACTGTTTCAATTTTTGTGAAATTGCATCGCCCTCGAATAATTAGACCCATGTTTCGTCAATTGGACAATTTAGGCCACTTTGGGTCACCATGGATCACTTGGACAGCATTTTGAGATTAAGGGAAGCAAGAAGTCTCAGAATGAACTCAGATTAGCTTGTGAGTTTCAAACAATCTAGGCTGGAAATGATCCCCATGTTATTTCCCGTTGATTCCTGACTTTCGTTACATCTTGTATACAGAGGAACCTATATATAGCAATTTATTGTCGCTCCATTTCTTTCGGGCAAAATCATTTCTTAAAATGCTGACCACTCACCAGTTTTTACGTGCCCGGGGGCGTGGGGGTGGGAAGGGAGGTCCACTCCATCCCCCAGCTCCATCCCCGCCAATCCGCGGCCCCCCTCAGTTTACCTCTTCTTGCCCGCAACCACCGACTGCGATACCATCTTGCAACGCATCTGCCTGCAGCTGCAGATTATGACGGTCCTCCTTGATTTGGGCTTCACCCCTGAAGTTCTCCATTTCTAAGAACAGATTAAACCAAGCGTTATCCTCTTGGGTGAACTAAAAAAGGAATGAGCCAGTTATCATTGCTACAAACCCTGCTCTAAGAAAAGGCCTCTCCAAAAGGGTTCAACTGTAAATATCCTTGGTAATCCAGACTCTGAATTAATCGATCACACGTGGAGCTCAAATTCGGAAGTGATCGGTGCGAAAGTACTCTTCCCCCCAACCACTCCCTCCCCCTATCTCATGCCTTCTTCCCTCTCGACCATCTCATCTTGAACGTTTCCATCCGTCTCGGTCACATCCCTCCCGCCTGGAAGTGAGCCATCGTCACCATGATCCCCAAACCCGGTGAAGACCCTTCGAACCTCCCTTCCTTTCGCCCCATCTTTCGCCCCCACTGAGCTCTCTTCGAAAGCGACTGGAAAGCCTCTCGCCTCCATGATTACCGAGAAAGCAGTAACATCCTCTTTCACTCCCAGTCAGGCTTCCGCCCTAACCTATGCACCACAGACCAGCTCGTTCGACTCCATCCACGGCGCTCTTTCTTGTCTTTGATGAAGTTTGGCGAATCTTTTAACCTCTTTTCTCTCTTTAAAATTCCCCTGCAGCCGGTGAGATGGTCTGTCTCCTACCGAGGGATCATTCAGGTCGGGAATCATTTTTTCCGAAATTCGCTCCCCCACAGCCAGAATCCCACTGAGCTCAGTCATTGCACCTCTTCTTATTCTTTACGATAACGACCTTGCCGCTCCTATTCCCCGTAAACCTAACGTACGCATCAGCCAATATTTGGGCGACACCGCCCTGAGGTGACCCTGCCCTTGAATCGCGGATCCAGGCTGCTGCTGACGGTACTGATACTCTAGGTATTTTAGGTACTGTCATAATCGACGTATTAACATGAAACCCAGGAAATCCTCCCTTCTCTCATGTGCTCGAGACAGAAGACCCCACCTAACCTTGGATAGAACGATCACACTAAAGTAATCCGCTCCAAGGCGATTAAGAAATTAAACTGCTCAAAATCCCAACCGGTATCAACAGATGAAACCAGAGGTAACTTTCAAGCTTTTCGCAACCTACCTTCCCTTTGCATCAACAAACCCATTCGCAGCCTGGGTCAACCGTCCAGAGGCAGTCATCGGTGCAGCAATTAAATACCTCTTCCACCTACTTTCTTACTACCCCAACGCTTACATCTATAGGACTAGTGGCTTCACTCCCTCCACCCCCCCCCACCCCTACATGCTTCTGAACTCGCCCATAACTATTGTGATGTCCTTAAAAGGCCAGAGGACATAAAAGAAACCCCTGTTAAACTAAATAAAACGTTTACCATGGGGCGCTTCAAATCCTTTCATAAAATAGTGGAAAACCTCGGAAGGAGTTCAAATCCGCCTCCCCCTGACCCTTGGCCCTTGAATCTTGACCTTTGACCCTTGGCCCTCGTAGACTTTTGCACTGCANAGAGCGGCATCGTCGGCCAGGAAAGGAGCTTTGTTGGCCTGGAAAGGAGCTTCGTTGGCCTGGAAGGTAGTTTTGTTGGCCTGGAAATAAGCTTTGTTGGCCTGGAAGGGAGTTTTGTCGGCCTGGAAAGAAGCATCAGCCTAGAAAGGAGACGAAGTTCTGGAAGCGTTCGCTGATGTTGGAGATGAAACCCTGCACGGGGCTCGACGGGGGTTTCGGTGGGCGGAAACTCGGCAACTCGTAATGCACCTAAACAAAATGACCTTATCATTTTTAAAAAAATTTGCTTTGGTTAAGATAATTTTTTTGCCGATTTTGGCAAATTCGTGCATGCAGGGGTGAAAATACATACCCTGGGAAGGAAGGGGAAGGGAAGGAAAGAGACAATCATCACCCTGGCCAACTCCATGCCCTCCTCTGAGTTGTGTGGTTTTTTTTGGAAGAGAAAGAAACAACTTCACCAAATACGACCTTTCCCACGTGCGTTCCCAAATTTCATAATAAAAAATATAAATGCTTTTTTTTGGAGATCTCATACGCATCACATTCCTACTCAGATTCCATGCAGGGACGAAGCGACTAGAAAGAGTGCGACAGACGCAGAAGAGGATTCGGAGGAAGATGAAAAGGATTCAGAGAAAGACGAAGAAGAATCGAGTCCCCACGGCACTTCGACGGCCCCGCCACCACTAACGACCCCCCCGCCACCGACGGTCCCGTTGCCCTCGTCGGCCTGGCGGATCCTCAGCATCGAGGACGACGACGACGACGACACCAGCCTCCCGCCACCGTTGTGAGGGTCGAGGTTGCGAAACCGCCACCAGTCTTTGCCGTCTCTTACCGTGGTCGGGAACATGGTGATGTTGATCAAAGTCGGTCGGTCCTCGAGGACCTGGAATTCCCGCTCCACTGGCTCGTACCCGTCTTTGTACACCTGGAGTGGAGTCGGGGGTCGTATGTCATTACAATGTTCACATTACGAGAACGTGTCATTACAGTGTTCACATTACGAGAACGTGTCATTACAATGTTCACAATACGGGAACCTGTCGCTACAATGTTCATATTACGGGAGCACTCCATTACAGTAAACACATTACAGGAACATGTGATTACCATAATCAAAATACAGGAACGTGCCACTAAATGAAGCTTACTCCACTAAAATTGCAAAGTTCTTGGAATTTGAGGAGACCACCCCAAAAACTCCAAGAAAAAAATGTGCCATTTAAAACTTTCGACTGATTCATTTTACTTGCGACTGATTCGGTCGCGAGCAATCCATGGTCATGCGGAGCTTTGCCAGCACTGTCTCGGCGACTGTCGGCCGGTTGCGCGACGAATGATCAAAGAACGATCCGGGAGAGGAAACGGGAAAAACGGGCCATCGTTGAAAACAGGCAAACACGGCAGAAAAATGTGAATAATGGCCACACATGGTAAAAAAAAATAATAATAATAATAATAATGGCCAACGAGGGCAAAATGGAAACGATCGGAAAACAGCGGTCGAGAGAGGGCACCTCGAGGACGTAGACGCCGGGGAGGAGGATCCGCCAGAACTCGCCGAACTTGGTCGTCTCGAAGCCGATCTCGCGGTTGCGGATCTTCAGCCGCGCCTTGTGGATCGGGTTGCGGTTCTCGTCGAAGACGAAGCCGCGCACGCCGCGGTGCGCCTCGCCCATGTAGGTCAGCAGCGACTGCGTGTAGCAAACATTCAGCAATTTTGAAACGTGCAGGGGAACGAAGGAATGCGTAAGTGTTGTAAGGTGTAAGTGTTGTAAGGTGTAAGTGTTGTAAGGTGTAAGTGCTGTAAGGTGTAAGTGCTGTAAGGTGTAAGTGTTGTAAGGTGCTCATGTTGCAAATTTCAGGTGCTTTAAGTTCGAGAAGAGTGTCGCCATCTCGAGAAGCCAAGGGCGAAGTTCGAAGAAGCCTTGGTTACTTTGCGGAAAGGCTCACTCAAAAAGCGTAGCTCAATGCTTGCCGCACGGCGATTGCGTCGAAGGAAGCCGCTTCCATGGACTCCCCCTCGACTCCAGCCAATTTTTGCCAATTTCATCAATCATTGCCTGTCCCTTCTTGGAATGAACCCAAGGGTGACATCGACCCATCGCATCCTTCCTGGCCTCCCGAGAAGCGGAAAAATGTACGCATTCTTCCCGTGGTTCACGGCAGTCGACTAGAGATGGGCTGTCGACAAGGGCTGTCGACAAGGGCTGTCGACAAGATCAGACGACCGATGCTGGTGCCCTCGAGGCAACTTACGACTCTCAAACTCGTGTAAAAGGACGTTTGCGTGCAAAAGAAAAACCTAAGAGGGGTTCCCACCGTCTTCCGCGGGAAAGTATGTTTTAAATTCGGTCGAAGCACAGGATTTTTTAAAGGCGAAATGTGGGAAGTGTGAAGCACGTGTCCTTCATCGCACGTGCTTCACACTCGCATTTCATCTCGTACCTCTCGGTTCTCTTCCCAGAAGCGTGGGAGTTCCTGGCGAGGCGGATATTTGCAACATGACAGCTCCACGGTGATCTCCATGCATCCGTGCCAAATGTAGTTGTAGTCTTGCATCCCGCCTTCGCAAACAAACAAATTTGCATGAGACACGATCAGAAAGGAAGAGGAAATTGCGAGAATTCCATGAAATGGCGCAAGTTATGAGCAGTTCATCAACGCTAAAGTAACGGCTCCCTGAATCCCTTTAAAGAATTTTCCGCATTTTTGCCATTTCTTGCCAATATTGCCCAGTCCACTGGAGAAATTGGCCTCCTGGCCTTTCACTCAATATGAGATCGGCAAAGAAAACGAAAGGCAAGAGTATTTCCTTTCATTCTCAGTCATCGCCTTCTTTTCAGATGCAAAAAAAAAATCGCCGTATTCCCCGCTCGGTCCTTCAGCTGTTCCATGCCAAAAAATTTGCAATTTTCGAAGCTTCTGCAACCTTCTTTCTGGCGACTCTTAAGCCTAAGGGACCTCCGGCTGACTCAGAATCCCAGGGCGCAAATCGATGAGCAGTCCAGGAAAGACCTCGACTCAGTAGCTTGGAGAAGGACCTCGTGCCAAGTGGTTGTAACGAGGCAATGAGCCAATCGACGAAAGGGAAGAGAAGAATTAATGGAACCCCGTAAACATAACCAAGCAAAAACAACTCAACACTGTATAAACAAGTACCTACAACCCCGCTAAAATCGCAGACCAAACAAAAAATAACCAAGCTTACAGTATGAACTCAACCAAAACAACCCAGGTAATAACATGAACCCAACCAAAACAACTCAATTAATTTCATGAACCCAACCAAATGAACCCAGTTAATACCACGAACCTAACCAAAACAAACCAGAAAAAAATGAAGAGCACGACCACCTCACCAACTCACCTAGCACACCCTCGCACAGCAGGCCCAGCGGAGAAACAAAAAAATCGCCCACCTTTGAGCGGATACCAGGCGGCCCCGTTCGTGATGCCCCGCTTGAAGGAGGTGGTGCGCCCTCCAAACGGTCCTTGGCAGGACACGTCCTTGGTCATGGTGGGGTGCGTGGACGCGTAGCGGCGGCTCAGGAACCGGAACACGTCGTCGTCCGGCGTCGCCGTGTACCGCGCTGGATAATCTGCAGTTTTGGCGTAGTATTTACGGCATGCAAATTTTTCCCCCAGATTTCCTGGCTTGATTTGAAATCGGCAAAACTTTGCAATTATAATTTGCAATTGTGCATCTTAACGTAATTTGTAATCGTGGTTGTGACCTGTATTTAACATATACTTGTAATATAAAATGTATTCCAAGTTTGTCACTGCGGTTAAACTGGCGGTAATGACGAGGTAATTATGATAATTGATCGATCCGCGTTCTTCTCGGTCTACGTCGCGACACGTTGATCGCGCAGCCCCAGAAGCAAACGAACCGAGGTGCAAGACACATGCAAGACGACACAGTGCAGACGAAATGAGAAAAAAAAGGGACGAAAAAAAAGGGGACCCTCATCCCACAAAGGAGATCAATCTGAATTTCGCACACCGCCAAATAAAAAAAAATTTAAATACAGGGTGGCCCAAAAATAACCTCCAGTATCCTTTCCCTCGGTTCTTCAAGAAAAATATTTTCTTCTTCTTTTCGGTTTCCTCGAAGACTGCGCAGGAGAGTGGCGGGGGTTCCCATCGACAAAGCCAAGAGAAGCGCCTTTGCAACTTACAATCGATTTCCAAACATGAGAATGCTTCGGAGGTGCACAGCAGGTGCTCCCAACAATGGCACGAGCCACTTCTAAGACCGGAGACAATGAAAGCCGATCGAACGTGACTTTTGAAAGCATTGCAGCAGAAGCGAAGAAACATCACGTGTGAGGAGTCATTACAAGTCACCTTGCATCGGAAGTCGTTACAAATCACCTTGCATCGGAAGTCATTACAAGTCACCTTGCATCGGAAGTCATTACAAGACACCTTGCATCGGAAGTCATTACAAGTCACCTTGCATCGGAAGTCATTACAAGACACCTTGCATCGGAAGTCATTACAAGACACAAAGAAAACGCCAACGTCGGCTTTCAGCAGTTCAACGGCTGAAGAAGTCCTCAAACTTAAACGCCCTATTCGCTTTTTGCGAATCGATTGCTTCATGCCACAATCTTCAAAGAACCTGAAAAGAAGAAGAAACTCCTTTTCTTTAAGAACCCCAAAGGGGAAGGAGCCCTTTACTCGGCAGTTTCGGGCCACCGTGCATATAAAAACCTTCGATGTGTTTTCAGCCATAACTCAGCCATAACTCAGCCATAACTCAGCAATAATTCAGCAATAACTCATCGATCCACACGTTCCGTACATCCGTGGAGGACGTTAAGCAAGGAATTAAGGCATTGACCACATTGATCGAGCAAGTGGATTATTGCAGCTCACGATCACATAAATCGCGTTAACTGATCATTTATGTAATTTACGAGCAATTTATCTAGATGTTTTTTTCCACGGCGAACCATAAAACATGCATGCGAGAACCGTCTGCCTCCTCCATCCCTCCTGGCCCCTCCATCCCCCCTGGCCCCTCCAGCCCTCCTGGCCCCTCCAGCCCTCCTGGCTCCTCCAGCCCTCCTGGCTCCTCCATGCCCCATGGAGGTCGGTTTTATCGCTAGCGGGTAGTCGGGATCGGGAAGCCATGCAAGCCAGTTCGTGAGCGAAAGCGAGCGAAGCGAAGAAAGAACGAGGCTTACTTGGTTCCGGGTGGAGATTCGCTGGTCCGACTTACCCCATGAGTCCCAAAATGCCTCCGATATCATGTTCCTTCATGAAATCCGTTCATGAAAATCTTCATGAAATCCTTTCATGCATAACTTAGCAAAAAAAAAAGGGCGTAACAGGAAATGCTAAAAAAAAAATTCCACCTGGGTGCATTTCTTTCCTCCAAGAGGTGCCAGAATTTTTTTTATGACAATGGGTGCGGCACCGATCCCCGGTACCGTTCCCAGCAAACCGTAAAACCCCCTCCCCCCCTGAAGGAGACGGAACAGACGGCACGACACACTAATTACCCGCCCCCGAGGAACGAGCCCCATCAGGAAGTGGCCCGACTACAAAGGAAGACTCAGGAAGAAAACGGGACAAGGAGAAGCAAGCGACCCACTCTCGACGGGGATTTCCATTTCAAAGGCTCCCTCTTTTCGCCCCCTCCCCCCTCCCCCTCCCCCTCCCCTCCCCTCCCCTCCCTCCTTCCCCTCTGGATGACCTTCCGTCGCGATGTCGCCCTCTTACGACGCTGCCGTTCAGACAAATCGGGGGAAACGACTCGAATGCCGAACCTCCCGAAAGGATCGAGGGAACGCGCGACGGAATCTCGCCCGCTGGAGGAAACCTTCAACCCGTCGAAACCGCGAACGATCCACGCGGACGCCTCGCGGGCCGCGACGTTTCGCCAAGGTCGCTCGTCTCCATCCGATCTCCCGGCCGACGGAACGCAGCGAAATTCCGAAATTTCCGGATGCAATCGGAGCAATTTAGATGCTTTTGGCAAATTGTTGCCGGCAACAATTTACCGGCAATCTATCTTCTTCCCGGGCATGCATCTCTTCTCACGGCAATCATTCCTCCCGGACGCCATAAATTGCCCCCCCAAAAAAGGGCAACAGATAGTAAAAGGTTATAAATAGCGAAATGGCGCATGAATGGGCCTAATCACTCCGTATTCCAAGATTAGCCCCTTAGTCATTTCGGCGCAGAGTCGCCCATTGCGACGAATGACCAAGACGTGCGACGAAATC